TAGGAAAAGTGATTGTGTTATGTTATAGAGATTCGTTTTGCGTGCCGAAGTTTTTTTTTTTTTTTTTGCTATGGGCCCCACAAAATGTTGTGTTTGTAGGAAAATTTTTGTGGTCATGTTAAATGATAGATGATAAACCCTACTAACTTAAATAAGTATTTGTACGCTATAAATATAGGGTTTGCTTTTTCAAGTTATCTGCAGTAAGTTTAATACGATATCATTTTGGGTAAAAATTATGATATTTTTGTAATTTTAATTTATTTCAGAGTTATTATAGTTTTTATAATTATAATTTTTTAATCTTTTAATCCCAACATGACATCATTTGGGAAGTAAATGCAGATAACTTATCTGCATTAACTGCAGAAATATTTTTCTGATAAATATACTTATTAATCTGAAGTTTACAAAAATATAGTAAAGCGCAGGTAATTGATAAGATAAGTCATGCAGAAAAATATTTCTGCAGTTACTGCAAATAAATTATCTGCATTTGCTTTCAAAACGATGTCGTGGGATTGCAAAATTAAAAAATTAAAATTATAAAGACTATAATAACCCTGAAATAAATTAAAATTAAAAAAATACCATGATTTCAGTTCCAAAATAATGTCATATTGGTGCAGATAATTTATCTACAGTAATTGCATAAAAAACAAACCTAAATTATGATATGAAACTGCATAATCATCAAGCAAAGAATAAAAAAACACAAAAATGATCAAAGAACCATGACGGTGTTGTGGAGGGAACATTGGGGGATGACGATGAGTAAAAGCAAAGAGAAGAGATAGCTAAAAAGTTCAAAATAAAAGACGAACCAATATATAAATTATTTTGTATTTTTTTTTCGGTAAACAATTATTTTGTATTTAAATTAGAGGGAAAAGTTACATTTGACAGAGAAAATATATATTATTTAATTTTTACACGATAAGGTTTTGAAAATATTTACATTTTTTTATATAATTAAATTTATAAAATTTTATTAAAAATTATGAATATTTATAAAAAAGATAAACATAAAACTTTTAGATAAAATTAGTGCATAAAAATTTTATTAAAAGAATTCATTTCGTTTAGGGTGAAGAAACTTTGCACCAAACATAGTTACACTAATATCCATATATAAATCGTGGCATAAAAAAAAAAATCAGGATTCACGTGACTTTCTATATATTGCTGTAAAATTTCTCAATAACAGCAACAAAAATATTAAACAAAAATATTAAAGCCTTTCCTTTAACTGGTAAAAGGGATGCATTAATGAGGTTTCCTTTCTTGATTTGCTGATTACACGCATTCCAGTCTGGAAGCAGCAACACTTTTTGTCCTTTTCAACCTTACCTTTAATTTTAGAGAATTAACATCTGAATAATGACATTTTGGCGGAAACTACACTCATCAACCCAACCAACAAATTGTCCTTTGTTACTGTGACTGGCTTCCAAACATGAACTCTCTTGTTTCTTTATTGTTACACATGAGATAAATCATATATAAATTCAAAACTATCCAATGGGGGAAAAAAGGGTAAGATTTACAATTTTCAAATGTAAGTTTGGGAAACTCTGTAATGCAAATACTCAATAACAACATATAAAATATCAATTCTTTTGACACTCATTTAAATGTCATGGCGCCACAAACAAATAATTGCACCCCTCAAAAACCATTTATAATGGAGAAGTATACGAGGCATAATTTCTTGTGCAGAAGTATGTGCTTCTACTAGGCCAAAAAGAAAAAATAAAAAGTGCATAGCACATGCTTATCTGCATTTAATCTAAGACTAATAGTATTCTGCTTAATTGCATCTATCTTCCGTCAATAGCTCTGTAACCCAATGATATTGTCCTGTCTTTAATGCGTGAAAATATGGAATACATCATAAAATAAATGAAAATCATAGTCTAACTTTCGGCATAATTAATGACCACCATAATATTATTGGAGCTTATGAATAATCATAAACTTGATATTTATGCGGTCAATCATCATAGTTTTCGCAAAGTTAGAGCAATGTGTTGCGTTACCGTATTCTAGGAAGCACCGACACTTCAAAAAAACTCTGACGTGTCGTGTCCGACACTTCCCGACACTCTCCGACACTCCAACACGCATTATATAAATTCAAAAAAAGTTCAAAGGTTGCGTTGCGTTGAGTGTTTAGTTCCAACTATTAGATTCGTTGGATTACAATTACCATTTAATATAAATATTTAGGATATCTTATGTTTCTTTGCAAAATTGATGAATATTTTAAGTTTAATTTTATTTTTTTGTTAAATTATTGAATATTAAATATAATATACACTACATAAATTAAAAATATTATTTGATATCAAAACGTGTCCTAACGTGTCGAAATCTAATATTTTTTAGAATTTACGTATCGGAGTGTCGTGTCGTATCGTGTCACGTGTCGGTATCGGTGCTATATAGACCGTATTTGATTGTGGCCAAAATTAATTAAACTAAGTCCCAACCAAAAGAAAGAAATTACCCCCTTCTATGAACCAGTGGGATTAAATAATTCGAGACATTGAATCAAATTGATCCATTATTTGCGTCATTTATCTCAATCTAATTGATCGAAACCAGTACAATTTTTTTTTTTTTTTAAGAAATTTGTGATAATGTAAGGAACCTTTGAGATATAAGATACACTATTTACATTGGCACTCATCAAATTATGCTTTTTCTCCGAGATGACAAACCTATCTGTTTTTCAAGTCAAGAGAATTAATCATATCTTTCATAATTTAATGAAGTGATCAGGGAGTACAGTTCCGCATTAACTGAAATCATCATGTGACTCCTATATATGATGAAAGTATTACCAAAATTCTTTGTCAATTAAATACTGATTAGAAACCACTAACTAAAGAGCATTGCCTAAATCCTAATCCTAACTTTAACAACTTATTTATTGGGTTGCATGGCTTTCGGATATATCCAAAATGGAAACTGCATCTGCATTAATTGGCTGAGACATTGAGTCAAATTAGAACCTTATTTGAAAGCAATAAGTTCCTGTACTCTCTAAGAGAAAGATTGAATGTAGTTGGCGTCAAAATTCTAAATGTGCAGTACAGGCAATTAATGGTGATCTTAAAAGATGCTTTTATTGCTTCCATAAGCCATATTCCAACCGCATCGAAATAGCAAGCCGAGCCTAAACATCAATAACAAAATTTACATCTTTTGGGAAATTTAGTTCATCCTCTTGCCTCCCAAGTTATTCTTTTGTTTCCCATAAATAAAATAGTAGTTCAGTTTGCGCATAAAAATTAAAAATAGGATGGTGCGAATATGTGTTTCATCTTTCATAGTATTATTTTTAAGAAGGATTTAAAATTTTAATTCTGGACCTACCTCAAACTCCAAATTAATTCATAAAAAACCTATAAAATTAATGAGAGAATTCTAAAAAAAAAAAATGTGGTCCAAAATCAGGTCTAGGGTGAAAAAATTGTACAGGACCATTATTATTTGTCCTTTTGCTTTTGTTCTTTACTCCTTTGCATCCCATTTTCTGATCTACTTTGCATATTTCAAGGTTATTTGTAGACCACTACATTTCATGGGTTTCTCGCCTTTTGAAAAGTTTTCATAGATATGAATATAAACTAAAAATTAGGTGACAAATTCATTTCTTTCAAAGGAGAACACAACCATCATATATTCATATGGGTCAAGGGTCATTTTTTTGGGAACCAACATGGGTCATTTTTTAAAGACAGAGGGATTTAGTATAATACACTCATCAAAGGTAAAGAAAACAGAGGGAAGTGGGTGTAATACCATGTGTCGTTTGCACCAAGAGTGCTGATCTATCATATGGTTTGTCTTGACATGCCAACAAATCACCTATTTCCATTTTAATAGAATTTCAAAGACACCACAATTCAATTGAAAGCAAGAAAGGTACTTACTTAGAATTATTAATATATATTTTTTTCACTAACACTTTCTTGTGGAAATAAATAATGTTTCCGGCCATGTATTTGACCTTGAGAATTGAGACCATATAAAAATACAATCCTGATCTGCATGGACGTACGTACAGCAAGGATGCTTTACGAGGAAGACATTCCACGGATCAAAATCCAAGACTCCTCACATGATAACAACTATTTCTATGCAGGGGTGGTAAGTTAACGATGCTATAATCCCCATATACCTTTGGTTTTGGACTTTGCGATTTTTGTGCTGGAAGTGGAAACCTTTTTTAATGCTCTCAAATATTATGCAGCATCAACAAAGGCATTTATGATGCATTGGATGGACTCTAAGATATAATATAATATAAAAAATTGTTTTTATCTTTTTCTCTCTGATATAATATACACTAACGTGAAACATTTTCATTGACGTGATGTACTTGCACCCATAATATAATAATTTAACAATTAAAGATTCATTTTTAAGATAAATTTATTTTAAAAAAGTCATGTGCTATATATAGAAATGAGTCGTATTACGTTTATAATTTTTTTATTTATAAATTCTTACTTGATTATATATTCGGAGAAATATATATGTGAATGGTTGTATTCTAAATTAAAATAGATGATTGAATTTGTAAATAAAAAATTATAAATATAACCTTTTCCAATTAAAATTATATCCATTGAGGTCTCAAACCAATTTTCCACTATAGTCCAAGGAAGGACAGTGAGAGAGAAGGGAAAGGATTTTCAACTTTTCTTTTTGGTAGTTGAATTAGTTTAGCTTAAAAAGCACAAAAAGAAGCAAAAGCTAGTCACAGATTCCAGTCCACAGCCTGAGGCCTACACTCCTATCCCAGCAAAGACAGGGCTGACCCCACCTAACAACCCCACAATAAAAGGGCACCCCACAAATTAATAATATTAATTATTTCAAACTGATAATTAATCAAAATATATTCCCTGCAAAATCCTTATTAAAGTCTCATTAGTGTCTCTCATATTGTTTCTCTCTCTCTCTCTCTCTCTCTTAAGTTTGAAACTATGCCTGTTATCAAAGAAACAGAAACAGCAGTAGCACAACACATAAAGTGGAGAAAACCCAGGAACCAATTCGGGTTCAGCCACCAACCCATTTCAGAAACAGATCCGAACTTGCAAATCCCTTCCATAATGCAATCCACTCGCTGCAAGTCCACCATTTCCTCTCTGCTTCTATCCACTTTCTCCAACAACACCTCCTCCAATGAAACCACCATCAATGGCAGTGCTCACAGCAGGAAAAAGAGCAACTTTCCTGCATCAACCTTCAGAGGGTTCGGGTGCACCGCCGGTGCGTCGCAGCAGGTGTCGGTGCCGGCGGTGATTCGCACATCAGCGGATTGGCAAGGGAAGAAAGCAAGAAAAAAGAAGCACAAGAGGAACAGTAGCAAGAAGAACAGTAACAGCGGCAAGGCTTGCCATGGTGGGGTTCTAGATCCTGGTTCTGCTACTTGTGTGGATTTTCAAGATGTTTGGTGTGGCCCTGGAATTGGGTTCTCAGCGGATGCTGCTGCCTCTGTTGATTGTGTTGTGTCCAGAAAGAATGCATCTGCAAGAGGGAAAATTGATGTTGAGAAGATAACTCACAGGGAGGTATTCTGATTTCTTCACATTGATTGATCCTTCTTCTCTTTCTTGCTCTTTTTTTGTTTTGGAATGATTTGGTGCTTAAGTCTGTTGAAAATTTTATTCTCCCACTTCTTTGTGTTCTTCTATGTCTAATTTCTTAGGTAGGAAGACCAAGAACATGGTTTGCTTTCTATGGATAGGCTGCATTAATAAAGTTTCTATTTTTTCCCCACTAAATTGAACTTTTGCGTGCATTAAGAATGCTATTATTGTTTGGCCTTCCTTTCTTGATTAATTTATGATCTTTTGTTCACAAATCACCGTAGTAGCAGTATAGAAAGTGATCACTGGTTTTTCTATTGATGCACTTTGAAAAGTGTGTTGTCCTTTGATTTTCATCCACATTTCCTAGTCCTATGCTACTTTCGTTATATTTTAATTTCTATAAAATTACTAGACAAAATTAATTATTTTTTATTTTTATATATGAGCATGAAGTCTTCGATTGTTTTCAAGTAGGGCTATATTTTTTTTCTTCATTTTTTTATAAGTAAACACCCTTTTTAGTCCCTGTAAATATCTACGAAGTCCTTTTTAGTCCCTGACAATAAAAAAGGATCAAATTGGTCCCTGAAATTACAAAAAAAGGGCCATCTTAGTCCTTATGTCAACTCCCAAATACGTAGAGTGGCATTTTTCTTGTACTTTCAGGGACCAATTTGGTCCTTTTTTATTGCTAGGGACTGAAAAGGACTTCGTAGATATTGCCAGGGACTAAAAAAGGTGTTTACTCTTTTTTTATATTTTATTTTTCAGTGCATGTGTTTTCTGAGAATCTTATTCATGTATTAACCTTAGGCATGACACTTTTGCATGTGGGAAATTGAATTTTAACTATTAAAGTGAAGAACATTTGTGCTTGTTCATCATCAGTTCGGTTTCAAATGCCTTGACATGATTATGGACTAACAATCCTGCTTCATCATAAATATATTGGCAGCGTTCATCTTATTTAGGAAGGCGCACTGTCTACCCAGAAACCATGTTGTTTCTGGACACTGATCCTGACATTTCCACAGCACGCTTTGCCTCTGAGTCTTTTGGAACTGCAACATACTATCGCCATATTAGAGATCCTTCCTCTGATGGTTTTCCTGAGGTTGGCTCATGCTCAAATACACCCTTTCATGTGTTCTCTTTGTGCATGCTGATAAGTGCAGATTTAGTTTGGTTGAATGTGATTCATAAAAACTCAGCAAATTCTGGTTTATTCATATCAGAAATGATAATTTACTCTTATCATTTTTTACTTTTCAAAAATAGTAATATGTGAAAATGTAAAATTCTGGAATTCAAATTAAGTACTGGAAGTTACTGTGGATTGGACTTGAATGAACTGGTTACTAATTTGTTAAATTTGATTGGCTTACCTTGAATTGAGTTTCGGAATCATATTTTTTCAAGTATGTTTTTTCTATGGTTCTCCCAAGAACATTTTCTCCATTCCCAAGACTTGAGACCCTCTCCTTACCACTTGAACTAGTGGTTATTGGTAAAATGAATGATTTTTTGATATGTAAAGAAATGACTCAATGGGCTACCAATTTTATGATAAATGGTAAAGGTCGATTGCATAGAGCACTACTCCAAGCCTCATCTTCATATAAAAAAATAAATAAATTATGATAGAAAAATATATTTGGTAGTTAAAAACTTATTCAATTATCTTCAAGTTTTTTAGACATTTTTTAACTAAAAAAAGTTTTTTTTTAATCTTTTCAAAAAGAACAAACTGGTCTGCAACAAAACTTTGGATTCTTAATATAGTTATAGAGAGTCGAGTCAACAGCTTGGTTCAGTGGCATTTCTCTTCTTTTCTGGGACAGTTTTAGTTGGCTTACCATGGGTTGAGATTCTTGTGTAAATAGGATCGTAGAATAGACACCTAACATAACATCATGTATGTTTATTCAAGAATTTCTTTGAACTGTTTACTCTAACTGACAATAATTGCATTGAAGTCAGTTTCTTTTAGTGGTTAATTACATGTTTTAAATGTCCCAAAAGTTACGTTATTCATGGACATGAGGCATGTGTACTATCTACCTTATGCTTCCTGTAACTCTTAAGACGGTCATTTGTTTTATGTTGTAGTTACCATTTAATTATTTTGTTTTATTATCATGTCTTTTTGCTAATGTTTTGGTAATTTATGAATGGAGAGGTTTTACCATGCATCTTTGACTACAGTGATGCATAACCCCTGCTATTTTACTGAGTTGATATTACTAGCCAGCCAAACACGGTTAACGTTTTAATAAATGTGTCTTGAAGGATAATGTTTGATACATGCTAATGCATGTAAATAGGAGCGTTATGTTACATCAAATCAAGTCTTTGCTTAGATCTTATTGTAGTTAAGAGCTAATATTTCATATTTGATTGTTGCTGGTGCTTTGAAGATAATGATGCTTCAAGGAAGTCTTCTAATGGGGGGACGGGTAAATTCACACGACCAATTCAGAGACTTGAGACTTGACGTTGATAACATGTCTTATGAGGTGAGTTCTTTCTCCACTTAAGCTGTTTTTTTATTTTTCTATTGTAATAATTATATCCCCAAGCTATCGATATTATTTTCCTCGCACATGTATCTTTGTTTTATGTTTGTCAAAATTTCTGATTTGTGTTTAATAGCAATTGCTGGAGCTCGGTGAGAGAATCGGTTATGTGAACACTGGACTTAAAGAAGATGAGATGGGATGCAACATAAGGAAGACTACTAAGCTTCAATTTTTGGATGATGCATCAAAGCATCAAGTTGATAAAAAGTGCATCATTTGTCAGGTAATTTTGTAAAATTAAATTTTCTGATTTACATATAATGTTCCTGACATTGCTTTGTTTTCACATATTGTATATGGCTATATGCAATGCAGAAAGCTTTTAAAACGTGTTCAAATAATTGAATATAATTAATCTTGCTTTTGAGTACAGGAGGAGTATGAAGGAGGTGATGAGCTGGGGAGGCTTAATTGTGAACACAGCTATCACTTTCAGTGTATAAAACAATGGGTTGCTCAGAAAAATTTCTGCCCAGTGTGTAAGCAACAAGTTGTGGCTCGACGCTGAATGACACAATCGACAATCCTTATGGTTTTTTGGACAGCTGCAATTTTCATACTTAAATTGGTGTATAGTTTTTCATATCCAATATAAGCAAGAATTTTCATTCTTTGCTGTCAATCATCATTTCTTTCATCTTTCAAAACTTAAGCCTCCTTCGTGAAGAGGGGGCAAATATGTTATCAGGTAAAGGTTTCTTAATTGGGATGAGACCTTTCCATATTATACGCAAGAGTTGGTCTTGCCTTTTAGCAAGTAATCCTTTTTTTTTTTAATGGAGTTTGTATCTTGTGACAAAGTAGGGTGATTATATTTGGGATGCTTGCCCTCAACTATGCCCATTTTGGATCTTATGGTATTAGTTTTTGTTATATCTCCATTATCACATGTTTATGGGAAAACTAGTCTGCAAAATAAGATGAATTGCTATACAAATAGCATAAAATTGATATAAACAACCGGACTTCTGTCATGGATCAAGTGATCCCACTATGTAATTTACTTTCAAAATCAATATGAAACGGAGCAAATACCTGGAAAGTGTATTGTAGACCTTAGTATGGTCTTAAATGGTATATTGCATTGACTAGTCTGTACACGCAATAAATAAATAAGACCTCAACATGCCTCATTTGAAATAAGCACAATTCCTTATTCCAAATATTATCATCAGAGAAAATACCCACGTGGACCATCATGAAAAGCATAACTCATAGTGGTACTTTTTCACTGACGAAGCTGTCTAGATTATTGGGTTTTGCTCTTTCACTAAAGTCCAATAGGGTCTAGAGTATAAGAAGAGTTCAAGAAACCTAAAGCCCATTCTGCTTAGGGCTAGGGTTTCTTGGAACCCATATATATTCTACGCTTATAGTCATCAGCCACTCTAGTCTTTACTTTGAGGTTGCAGAGGCTGAGGTAATGTCATCTCTCTGAAAATGAGAGAGAGTGCCCACACACTTCCCGTTTTCTCTTGAGACATAGTCTGGAAGATCAGCTACAGTCCAGCTTCAAGGAGGTTATTCGTGCTATGGCGCTGATGTGAGCAGTTCGTGAAGAAGAATCATACAAGGGAAGATTCTACACGAGATCTGCACACCAAGAGGAGGTAATCGTGAAACGAAGATGATTCGGTAAGCATACCAATATACTAAGTCCTAAACCGCTCCGCATAAATCCAATAGTTCCTACATAGATTTACACCACTACATATATTACCACTCATGGTTCTCAAAAATAAATAAATTAAACATCTTTGTTCTCTTGCTCATCTGAGTGACATTGTCTCTGTTAGAAAGATATGACCTCCACAAACTTTTTTAGCATTATCATCACACTCCTAACAATTTATGCTGTCATGTTCTAAGAGCACTAGAGCTCTTATTGTCTTGATTATTGGCCCCCAAGAAAAAATTGCTATTGGGTCCAGTTGTTAGCAGAAATTTATTTCAACCACCAAGCTAAGGTCCTACTTTGGAGCCATTTCTTCCTTTATTGTTGATAGATTTACAAGAGAAAGAATGTGTTTTGCAATTTCAGCAGAGGCATTGGTGTCTGCAGCTTTCAGAGCCCTCTCAGTCATATCTTCCATCTTCTTCTCGTCCCGTCTAATCAAGAAAGAAGGAAAGAGAAAAAGAATAGATAAAAAGAGATACATGTTGCTTCTTCAAGATACATGATGTTCATCTTGGTTACATGGTCTTTAACTCGAACAGGAAAGTGCTGAATGTTAGAATTATTGAATTTCCAATATACAGGATTTTAAAACAAAGTTCTGTTAATGGCATAACAAAGATAGCAATATATATGGTGATTTAGATTTCTTTATCCAAGCATATGGCATGCTTTATGAATATTTATAGTATGATTTCCAAAGCTTAAATTTGTAACAGACATGGAAGATGAAGACAACATACTTAAAATTTCTTCAATTGCAATTGCTAGTGTACTTGAGTCAAGCTCATCCTCAGTTATAACCGTCACACCAGCTAAGCCTGCCATCAAGGAAGCATTTCTGAACTGATTCCCCTCAGAGAAATTTGGTGATGGTATCTACGAATAATATTGAAAAAGGTCTTCATTTTCATTTGTATGAGCCACAGATCCAACTTAAAGGAAAGCTTTGAGGGGCCTAAGTTACATTATATATGTGACTATTGGAAAATATGGAAAGCATGAAAATCCTATGCAGTTCAGTATCATATACAAAGTAACATCATGACTGAAACCAACATTGAAATAATAAAAAAAAAAACAGCAATTGCATAGTTTGTTACTATATTGTTATGCCAGTTGAGGGGACTATATATACTTTATGTGGTATGAAGTCTAAGTCCAACAAATACCCAGGACTCTTGTCATGCAGATAACAATCTCCAAATCCATTCATACATTCCATAATTGCCTTTATGTACACATTGGATCTTATGATATGAAGTTCTCTAACATGTTATGTTTTGTATTTTAATTTTAATGAACAAAGCAGTATGGGAAGTTGTTGGGAATAGTTATGTAACAAGCATTTTAGCTCTCAATTAGCATAAATTTGGAAGACACCTCTCATAGGATAGGGTCTGTTCTCTAGCATAAAACAGCATAACTGCACAAATACTAATTATGTTGAATTCCTGAGTCTCATGATGGAGCACTGAAGGGAATAATGTATCTAACACTAATTTATTTTTTGAACATTATGAAAATCATTAATGCCATCATGAGCTTAAAAAATATGCAAGTCAAAACTTCTACATCTCTGCGGTTGATATAGTACGTTAAATATCTCTGAATAATACATGATAGTTTAAGCAAGTTAGTTCATTATCATTTTTGGTAGATGGTTCCCACACAGGGATTAAAATTCTGCTTAAATGTTTTAAAAAAAGGCTGTTCAACATAATTTATCTGAATTATTACATTCACCTTTTAAACTTATCAACTAATAATATATTTTATAATTCTTAAGCATAATGAAAATAAGAAGGAATGAAACGAACAGCAAAACATATCTAATTACCAGGATAGACGGTTTCCCAGTCGCTAATATTTCATAGCAAGTCACTGCACCTGCTCTAGAAACAATCAAGTCTGCAGCTGCATATGCCAAATCCATACAATGCATGAACCTTCATAAAAAGTGAATACGTCAGATAAGTGATCACTAGACCTCAGATTGTACTGTGAAACAAAAAGGATGCAGGCAAAATTATTTTCAAAAAGAAACCCCAAAAGTTAGAACAACTTCAGAATGAACTTTATTACAAATGATTTATTCATTGCTAAAGAATATACTCCTAAATTAGAACTGATTTTTTGGTGAATTTATTTAGTACTTAGTAATATGCCGATGCAAATAACAGAATTTATGGCTGGAAAGATGGTAAAGGAGAAAAATCCTAGATAAAGTAATGATTATATTAAATCAATTAATTTTAAACTGGTCCTACATAACTAAGGGCGTTAAAAATAGGTTGTTTATCTGGTTATTTTTGAACTGAAGAAAGCAGGACTCCCATTCATGCCAGTTTCAAAAAGCATTGGATAGAGGGGTCTCACATCAGGAAGTGTACTAAAGATAAATGATTTGACTTTGCATCATGCAAAGGTTTTGGGGCTTTTTGACCTGACAAATGCGTTATTCGAAATATTCCACCAGTTTAGTTCTTTGACCAAACGTATTATCAGACTAATGCAAGAAGATGCATATCAGGTAGCTACGCGTTTAGTCGCGCATCTGACACATGCGTGTTTCATGTGATAACAAAAGTGAGACATGCACATATGCCACTAGAGACGTTAGTACCAGGTGCGCACTAGACATGTCAGTACCAGGTGCGCGTCTAAACACGTAAGTACTAGGTGCGCATCTCAGTCCGTCCAGTCTGATCACGTCAGTATTACGTGCGCGTTTCAGTCCGTCTGCAACATAATACGCGCATGTGTCAAGTGCACGACTATACACATAGCCACTTGATGTATGTCTTCCTACATTAGTCCGGTAATACGTTTGGTCAAAAAACTAAATCGGTGGAATATTTCGAAAAACACATTGGTACGGTCAAAAAGCCAGGTTTTGGTTTGTGTTATTCTAATAAAGAAATGACTTTTCACATCATGAAGTGGGAGAGAACTTTCCCTCACTCTTCTCAAATTCCCAAAATCACAACACCCGATGATGTTGATGTTATATAAATACAAGAATAAATACTTTTTTTTGTCCTCGAGAACAAACACGACATATTAGTTCTTTTGAGGGATTAACATAGGTATTCTTTGAATTTCTGAAGAACCATGATCTCAACTAATTGGATCTATTTTGAATTTTTGAGGGACTGTAAGTCAACTTTTTTATTTCTAAGGGATTAAAATGGGCCCGGTGTTTTTTTTGTAGGATGAAAAATGGTATTTACTCTAAATATAATCCTTTCACAAAGAGAAAGCTAAAAAGCATTACCATAGTTTCACTTTCTAAGCAATTTTAGATGAACTACTACATTTAGAATTACTTGCACAAAAAGGGATTATATTCCCAAAAGAAGAATTCACAACGAATGGAGATGTATCAGATTATAAAGAAATCAATGCAGGAGGATGGAACGACACTTACGATGCCATATACAAGCGTGGATGATTTTTAACTAGGCTGTCCATTTCATCATATGCTTCAACCCCAGTTTGCCATATAATATACAAGCTATTATTCTGTCTCAGCATGTGATAATACAAATTCAGCATTGCAATGTTAACAGTATTAGCCCCAAAAGACCCACCAAGAATTAACAAAACCTTGGCCTTAGAATCACTTGTCTTCTCATAACCTTGAAAAAAATGTGACCTTGCATTCATCTTTGAAACAGGGTTCATGAGTGACAACCTCACTGGGTTTCCACAAACCACACACTTGTTCCTCGGGAATCTATCAATGGCTGAGCTAAAAGCAACAAAAATCACATCAGCAAAAAGGGAAGGAACAGAGTTGGCCAGACCAGGGACAGAGTTGGGTTCATGGATGACAAGCTTTATGCCTTCGAGCTTAGCAGCGAGGCAAATGGGGAAAGAGACATAGCTACCAGCCCAACAACAACATGGGGTTTGAAATCTCTGAGATGGCGAAAGCATTGGATCAGAGACTTCACCAAACGGTAAGGGGAGAAGATGAGGTTGTGGTGGCTATGGGAAGGGACAGAGCCGAAGTTGTATCCTGCAGAGTATATTGCAGCGCTTTCAATGCTATTTGGGTTGCCAATGAAGAGGTTGGCCATTTTGAGCCCTTCGGCAATGGCCACAGCAGGGTACACGTGGTTGCCGGTGACGCTGCCGGCGAAGACCACGCGGAGGTTGTCGAGTACAGGTGAATCAGTTTATTTGAGAATAAATTAACTGTAATTAAATTCATTTAATAAATTTTTTAAAAGTGAAATTTTAAAGTATTATTCTGACACTGTTATTATTATGGCCTAATAAAATTTTAGATGGATTTGTAGAAATAAGGTGAATCAGTTTTGTCGCCTTGCCCAATCTATTGACGAATTTGGTCTTTTGAAGTGTAAGATCATAGTATTTTTAAGGGGGTGTTTGGTTTAGGTGAATTTTCTTTTAACCAGGGAAATATAATTATCAGAGAAATTGAATTAGATAGGAAAATTTAAAAAAAGTTGTTTGATTGGGTAAAATTTCACTAGGAAAATTGAGTAAAATTTCTGAATGTGTGTTTGGTTGAAGATAAAATATTAATGAAAAAATTTATTGAAATTACAAAATAATCATTTTAAAAAGTTGTTTGCTCACGTGTGAGGGGTAATCTTGTCACGGTTTTGTACCACTTTATTAACTTATCCTATCTTCAAAAAATTATCACGTTCCAAGTTGCTTTCGTTAATAGTGGATTTGTTCCTTTTTAACATGCAATTGTCGATAGCTAGGCAACTGAGAGTGATGGGTAAAATTCATGATATCCTTCTACCAAACGTGAAGAATTGACAATGGCGGAATCACTTCGCTCGGAAACCACTCAAAACTCCTGAACCAAATGTCCCCTAAGAAAAAAAAATGTGTCATTTTAAAGGATATAAAATTATATCATTTTAACTGAGACAAATATAAATTATGTGAGGAAGAGAATAGACAAAAAAAAATGTGTAAATTATACCTCTTTGTAAAATTAAAATGATACAAACTAAACTAAGCACGTGTTTGACTTACATCAATTGATTATTAATATAGCAAAAAATGCGTATGTATACTAAGAAGTTGTCCTTGTCTCCCTGAGATATTATACTACAACGATTCGCATTCATAGATTCCCTCGATGCCAATTATAATGTCAGAGCAGAGTGACCCACCTGCGTCATGTTGATTCTGTTGCAATTTTCGTTTGTTTTAGAGTAAATATATTTTTTTTGTCCCTAACAAAAATATGATATACACTCTGGTCTCTTACAAAATAAATTAGTATCGAGGTCCCTGATAAATTCAAGATAGACCTTAGTTGAAATCGTAGTCCCTCACAAATTTAAAAAAGATCCATATTAGTCCCTCAAAAGGACTAAAATGGATCTACTTTTAGGACCCGTTTGATGGACATGATAGGATAAAAACGGATAGGATAAGAGAGTTGCATAAGAATAAGATATGATATGGATAGGATAAACACATATCATATCCCGTGTTTGATGTGCACTGGATGTCTGGATTAGCAATCTGATAGAATTATGCTATGCTGTCATGTGTTTGAGGTGCACCAAATATCATCAGGATATGATATAAATAGACTAAAATACCCTTTCTAACAAAATATCATATAAATATTATAAATTAATTTTAAATTTTTTAAATTTATTTATACAATTCTAACAATTATAATTTTTTACATACCAACATCATCTCTGTACATATATAAATACAACAATTTATATGTACTCTAGGTGGAAGCAAATAACAACAGAGAAGTATTTAAGTCATTACAATCATTTCTCTGTAATAAGCTTTACAGACACATAACCATTACAATAACCCTAAATCTCAAATTAGGATTTCGCACAAGAGCCATATTTTTTTCTCTTCGAATTCAATAATAATCAACCAAAACAAAACATAATTTTAGAATAACACTAGAAAAGAAGCCTTAAATCCCCAAAAATTCAAAAGAAAAAAACACATAATCCCTAATTTTGATTGCAACGAAAAAAAGGGTATTGATATAATTAGATAGAAGAGAAACGAACCTGATGATCAAATACTGTTGGTTATTCTTGCTATTGTGGTTCATAATATAATTAGCCACCGTTTTTGGTGTTGTGGTTCTTCTTAATGCTTTTCTTTGACAACGATAATGCTTTGCTGGGAAGGGCGGACCGTGGTGGGGTTGGCCAAACTAGCCGGTGGCAAGGTTATCGGGATCGATCAGTGATGAACGGGGCAAGGGAGAAAGCGACGATCGATGAGGGTTAGGTTGGAATAAAATAAATTTGTTTTTTTGTATCCTGTCCTATTGGAGTGTAACCCAAGCCCTCCCTTGGGATAGGTTATCAGCAGTAGGATAAAATGAGCCAACCTGATAACTTTATTCTATTCTTCAAGCACACCAAACAATTGATTAGAACATGATAGGATATACTATCCTATCTTATCTTTCTTATCAGGTGCTGAATTTCATAGGGACCAACTAACTATTTTTTTTTGTAAAGGACTAAAGTGAGAACCGTGTTTTTTATTAGGGATCCAAAATGATATTTACTCTGTTTTAAAAGAAAAGTGTATGTCATTTCAAATGATATAAAATTATGTTATTTTAATTAAGTAAGAGAAAGAGATAGATTATGGGAGAGAGTGTAGACAAAAAAAATAAAGATATGAGTCTCACCTCTTTGTGAAAGTGAAATGACATAAGTTATGTTATTTAAAAGGCTGCTTATTTTAAACACGAAACCCTGCCCATGACTGCGACTTTATCAATTTGTGAAGGTTGTTTACAACTTATGAATCGTGATACTATTTTCGTTGCACATCAATCAGACAACAACCATGTGTGATCAAATGCTCATTACACAAAGGGTTTTACTAATATCATGTTAAAGGAGATAAGTTATCTCATCACATAGATAAATTTGTGGACTCCATCACTGAAGAAAAGAAAAAAAGAAAAGAAAAAGGTGGCACAATTATCGAAGGATGTGCACGAGAAAAATTTATCATATGTAGAATAAGAGTAGTTTTTCCGTTACACAAATTCATGAGTTAGCAGATTTAACTTTTGGACTTATATATCTTGATTAATTTACTGAAACCGCATTCACGTACTAATTGAACGTGTATATAGTTATTTATTACGGCAAGCTCAGATTATGATAAAAGAGGACAAAGTGTAAGATAACATGTGTTATATAATTCTTCTGTTACACGAGAAAGACACAATTAAGGGAAGAGAAAGTAAAGAATACACAGGTGAATCCCATTTCTTAATTGTGTCCTCAAGGGACACGATCCTTCTCTTGTAAGAGGAGAATTATATAATCCTAATAAGATACCTCAACTTTCGTAAGTCTGATGTTTCTGTTGATCTGAAGACAAAATATTACCTTCATAAATTTAATGGCAGCAGCTTACCTTATTCAACTGAATTACAGTTTATAGATAACACCAGAAAAGCTAGCTGGCTTAGTGGGGTATATCGGTGGAGTGCCATCCTTGTATGGTGCTGAGGCAGCAGCACTTTGTGGTAAAGCATTAGGGTCAGCTATATTTGATAGCAAAGTCATGCTGTACGGACGTACGGTTGTGTAGATCCAGTATGTATTATACTTATAAGTTCTTTTCTCTTACAATTTTTTTTTTTATAGTTATTGAATCAAAATTAAATCGATAAGTCCCGCTTAATGTTATTTTTTTGATCCAATAACCATAAAAATGATTTTAAGAAGTTATAAAGAAAAAGAAATTATAAGTATAACCACTCCTTTATTTAAATGCCGTTCTTGAGTTCTAAATTTTGGGGAGACTGCTAGGATGGATTAGTGGTAACGTCATTCCCTTGACTTTGAAGGCTGATATTTTACTCCGAAGAGTTACATGTTTTTATATCCCAAAATTGCACTGTTATTTGCCTCTTGATTATAAACAATTAGCTAAAACATACATCCTATTCAATGAATCTCCGAGCCTTGATTAGTTTTGGATTATTCTTGTATTTTTGTTTATTTTATGTATAAGCCAACTATGTATGCAGTATGCTTATCCCAGATGGGCCTATAGAATATTTCCTCCACTTTTCAAGCCCATTAGGAATTTTAAGAGCTATGAACTAAAACAACACTATGAATTTGCTTGTTATATGCTCTAATTTACATAAATATATTAATTGCATTTAACTGATGTCTGCAAATTATTATAACTACAGAGTAGATTTAAGAAAAGATGCAATAAATCCTCGTTTGAATGTGCTATTTCGAATAATTTTTTTTAAAAACTTTTAGCTCGTTTAGATAGGCTGGATGATAAATGGGGGCAAAAAATTTAATGCAAACATGTCACGTGTGTGCCATGTTATTTTGCGTGGACTAATGACTTTTATAAGCATCTCGCTACATATGCACAACGTTGAGGCGGGAACAAACTTTTATCAGCATGTCATTTTATTTGTGCTAATGAATTGGTCAATGTGAGACTTGTTCAACACACAAAACAAGAAGTTTATGTACCAAAAAAAAAAAAAAAACAAGAAGTTTAAGACAGATGGTTTGTTTGATTGTATTTTAATTTTTTTATTTTTAAAACTGTTTTGTAGAATAATTAATAAAATATGTGTTTTCTATTTTTTTTTATTTGAAAGTACTTAAAAATCAAAACATAAAATAAAAACAACTCATATGTTCTCTACATTTGATTCTAAAAACCAGAAAATAATTACAATTTTTAAATTTTTTTTACAAAACAAGCCTTCTCAAATGATTTTTATTTTTATTTTTATTTTTGAAAATCAAAAAAATATTTTTCGACACAGATTTCAGACAAGCTCTCTCTTGCTTTCCTCTGATTATACAACTCTGTGGAGTACTGCTTTTGGAACCAATTAAGTCTCCTCCGTGCATAGGAAATTGAATGAATTGGGCCAAAGTTTTGGTCACGAGGAATTTGAAAGTGGTGCATGAAGTTTTCTTTCTGATTAAAGTTGCATCAGAGTTATTCACGAAAATATCAATTAATTATTTAGGGGAATCTTTAATATTTCAGCCTACTAATCAAGCAATTTCCTGGGAGATTTCATCGGTGTAAGTTAAATGGAATTCCAGTGAACAGGGATACCAAAATCAGTGGCCTGAAAAATCAGAATTGAAAGCATAATCAACCTATATATGCATTTAAT